GCACCCTCACCCAGATGGGAAATCAAATTTCCACCCGGGGTGTGCGGTGGTGGCAAAATTCTCCCAGTCAAGACCCTCTGCAAGCCCAGCTCCAGCACCCGTGCGCATGGAGGGGGACTCCCGGGGAGCTGGCTTCCCTGCCCTTCCCAGCATCTTGTGCTCATCCCGCCTTCCCATCAGCCTCGCTGAACACCGGGGGGCGAAGCGGCAGCCAGCGGGGAGCCTGTCCAGCTCGTGTGCCGCCAGCTTCCAGCAATTCTTTCCCGCTTCCCAAGGACCGTTCTGCTATACAGCGTTTCTATACGGTGTGCCTGGCAGGCAGCCTGCTCCCCTTCCCAGTCGTGGGGGTTTTCCATACTGGGCTTTGCAAACTAAACTACCTCTGCGCTGGGTCCTGGGAATCAGGGCCTCTGCAGGAAGGAATTTGCTGGTCAGAGGGTTGAGTGGAGCTGCACGACCCTGTTCCTGTTAGCAGTGACTTTAACTTGGAGGCAGCATCCAGAAGGATTTGGAAATTCCCAGTCCCCCTGGTTGGCTCCCCTCGATGTCTTTGGTCCGAGCATGCACCCGAGGAGCCTCTGCTCCCGGCCCCCAGCCACCCAGGGACCAGACCCCGCCATCTGGTTAAGCAAGGAAGATCTGGGGGCTTTTGCAGGGCTGAAGCTCAGCCCAGAGCTGGATGAGCAGAGGGCTGAAGGGTCAGGAGAGAGGATGTCCTGGCATTACGGTGTGAGATGCCAGGAAACTGTGGTGCTGGAAGCCAGGGAAGTAATTTGTAGGCAAACTCGAGGCTCTGGTGCTGTGTGGGGTGCAAATATGGGAAGCGTTTGGGATGGAGGCTTGAGTGAGCCCCTACAAGCTCCCACAGTGGTTTCACTGCCTGGGAAAGGCTCGCAAGCAAGGCAGTTTGGTGACCTTTGCTATGGTCCCACTGCTTTTGCACATTCAGTGTGCAGGGACACGATAGTCTCTTCCTAGGACACCCTTCCCTCTTCCTGCACTCTGGAGGTACCTCCACCACAGGGGTGCACAGAGGGCTGGAGCTGGGCTGCCCAAGTGTGGGGGTAGCTGGAGGCACCATTGCACAAAGGTTGCAGAGGTGCTGTATGGTGTCTGACGCAGACCCTGGGGTCAGAAAGGGGTTCACTGTAGCTGAGACACCGCAGGGGGGCACCCAGACTGATTGTGTCCCCCTCTCTGTGTCTGCTTCCATCCTGCATCTCTGGCCTCTGGGAAAAGGCTGGAGGCTGCAGGAGCCCAAGCTGGTGAGAAATGGATTTATGTGGGTGTGTGCGAGAAATTGTGCCTGGCTGAACAGTTGCTGGAGGCTGCTAGTGTTGGAGAGCCCTAAAAAGCCTTGCCTCCAACCCCCACTCCTGGCAGCTCCTCTGTATCCCAAAAGTTCAGTCTGCCTTGCGATGCCCCTGCAGACAGGGATGCTCACCCCTCTCTCGTTGCCAGAAGCTCCCTGCTTTCTCCCTGGGCTGGGGCTACAGGTGATAGAGCAAGGCATTTGGGGAGGCAGGAGTGAACTGGGGGCTCTGAGGGAAGGGAGGCAGGAGGGGAGATGGGGCATGGACCTCCGTGCCAGTTTCCATGTGGCCCTGCTGCTCAGACACGCAGGTGCGATTGCATTGCTCAGCCAGAGAGATGGCCAAGGACCCCTGCCCTTAGTTTGTTCCCTCCTGGGCCCTCTCCAATCCACCTTCCCTGGAGGGATGGGAGTGAGGGTCTGCTCAGCCTGCTGCTTTCTTCAGGGTGCAAATTGCAGCAACCAAAGACTTGCCAAAGATTGATGCCTGTGAAGGGAACGCGTGCCCTGACCCTCTTCAGCAGCTCAGACCTATTTGGGGCTGGCCGCTGGCCAGAGGATGCTGCTGTGGTGTCTTGAAAACACTCAGAGAGCCAGGGACTTTCCAGGTGCCTGCTGCTGTGGCTGGGGCTAGGACTGGGCAAGAAAGGGAGCTGGGGTCTGCACTGGGACCATTGAGCTCTCCTGGGCTCCTTCAGGAGTGGAAGGAGCCCTGGGCTGGATTGTTCTGTGCTGGGGGCGACCTGTGACGTGTCTCCCCTCCCTCCACATCCCTTGTCCTCATACTGCATAGGCTCTGGGAGACACTTCATGAGGGTGGATGGCTATGGGATCAGTGCTTCTCCAACTTCTCCAGCGCATGGATCTGCAGCAGGACAGTGTCCCAGAAGTGCCAAGGGCAAGGGTTCATCCAGGTATTCAGCTGGGCACCTCTGCCTGGTAAGGTTGCACAAAGGCTGGAAAGGTGGTAAGAGCCAGCGTGGCTCTCCTTTTCCTGCTCTGTCCTGATGCCACCAGAGCTTTGGGGTCGGAAGGATGGGTGACAGCACATAGGATGCCTCCAGAGACCAGTTTCCCATGCTGCCAGGCACCCTGGGAAGATGCACCCACAGGCAACCCGCCGCTGCCCGTGGCCCGTGCCTGCCACATGCCCCAGGGACTGCTGCCTGGACCACATTGACCTTGGTGCTGCATGAGGGTGTGGGGAGCTGCCTCCCCCCATCTGGACACGGGGCACATGGGTACCTCCCAGCACGAGAGCTCCTTTTTTCTTCTTCACAGGTGATGGGGGAAGCCACAGGAGCACAGTCCTGATTCCCACGCTGCCCCAGGCACCCAACTTGTCCCCAAGGATGGCAGCAAGCCACTGCAGCTTGACGGTCTCCTTGCCCAAGAGAGGGCTGCGTTGTCGGTGAGCCACCCCACCACGATG